TATATATATATATATATATATATATATATATATAAAATAATACATAGCACACAGTGCCAAAAAAAAAGTTTTAAAAATTTTGGCATCTTAATGCAATGTTGGGTTCTTTACTGCTGTATTTTAAAACCAACCATACCAATTAATTTTAAGACACAGTTAAATGATAATGTAGGTAGTATTTCTCCACTTAAAACTCAGCCTGGAGAAAACCAGCTATCAAAAAACCTGAAATATCTGGAAGTTTATCCTGGAAGTGCTGACACAACCTTAGCTACTGGTAAACACGCAATGCTAACGGAGGTAAAAAACACTTTATGGCCCGTTGGTTTTCTCAATATATTATATATTGTAATACAGACCTATGGGTCATAAGATACATTGAGGACACATGTTCATAAGTCACCAGGATGGTGAAAAGTATATTTGAGGTGAGAGGCTGTCATTGATCCTCACTGAGTCTCACTGCTGTCTGGTCAAGAAACAGAACTGACACCGTTCACCAAAGCAGCAGGAAAAGAAAAAACAAACAAACAAACAAACAAAAAAATTAGAGGGAGAAAAAATCCTTTTTAAGCAGGCTGTGGGAGCCGAAAGCCTTTCAGGAATCCCACCCTCTACCCCATCTATTGTTTTTAACCCACTGGTCTCCTCGTTTTCGTACAAAGAATCCAGTCATCTATTCTGCACTGATTTACAGATGACCTGGGACAACGCAGGAGTCCGTCACGTTTCTTTGCTGCTATCTGACATGTAGGAAAGGCTCCAACACCATCACCTCTGTTTCTCTTGTGCATGAGGTCTTATCTGTCCAACTTTTTCCTGCAGGCTCTGCATATCACTGGCAAATTAGAAAGATCCTTTCACCGTCACTGCCTGAGCAGGTAAAAGGAATCTCAGCCATCACTGAAAAGTGTGATTTGTGACATTAACTCTCTAGAAACATCAGGGAGAAAAGAAAAATTCTCTTTCTTAATGATCCAAAGCACCAACTTGAAGATTCAAACTGCCCTCATTTTAACTGTCTCCAAAACCTCTAAGCAAAACTGGAAAGATACTTTTTCCCATTTCTAACAGATTTGGAAGATGGCATTTCTTTGCAGATGACCAGTAGTTACAAACAGCACAGAGGAGATGACTTCTATCTGCTGTTAAAAGTGGGGTTTCTGCAGCAACAGAAATGGAAGAAGAATATTATATAATTACATGGAGAAGCTACTGAAGGCTGAAGGAGACAGAATGGAGCATCTATAGAAGTCTTATTTTTTTTCCTAATAAAATACTTTTACTATCTTAAAAATGCATGTTTTGAGGATAAATGTTTGCCAGCTTACAATAGATGAATGAAAAATAACTGCCATAATAAAGCAAAATGTATGTACAGAAAACATCCCTTGCCTCAGGTCCCAAAACCCACATCTTTTTCTTATAACATCAAAAAATGGCTGCTCCCGATTTCAGCAGATCTTTCACTACACTTTCTCCATCTTTACTGCTCAGTAAGTGAAACGTGTTACAAATGCTGTGGCAGAAGCAGCTACAGAATGGCCGGAGTACACAAAGATCATTATCTGAGAAATTTCAATATCAACTGGCTTATATTATAAAGATGCAAAAGCTTAAGTTGTACCTTGAAGTGTTTGATCCTTGTTTCTAATAATTCTCCAACTAACAGATAGGTGAGAAAGATCATGGAAATTAAGTTATTTGAGATCAAAACAACTGAGTTTTGCTGTTTCGCTTAGGTCTGTATAGTGCCTAACCACAATGCTTCTGAGTGCTGCTGTTATTAACTTCTTTCATTAACTCAGATTCGAGAAATACATTTGTTTTTAGCAACAATAAAGGACCGCAGCCTTTAAAACGTCTGGGTATTTTAGCACTGCACAATTTCTGAATAGTAGATGAAAGAAATATAAGGATTTATCTGGTATGTTTACTGCTCTCTCTTCACAAGAAAAGTGTTGCAGTACATTTTAATTTCTGTTTATTTCCCTAAAACCCGCTATATAATTTCAGTTGGATGCAGTAAAAGCTATGGCCAAGCACGAGCTGATTAGCTGCAGCTTTACAAAGCATCCGTGAAACAAAAGCATCTTGCTTACGGCCAAGACACTGGTCAGAATCCTCACCACTAACGGGTACCCACGGCAGCCCAACAGAGCTCAGGTGGACTTTATACAAGAAACTGAGGTGAGTTTATAGAGCAAATTGTTTATGTCACGTCGCTTTTATCAACCTCTCTTCAGGTCTCTGCTGGTACCTCAGTTTGCTCCAGGGTCCTCACTTACACAGAGGACTCCTCAGGCTTAAGATGCTGCACGGGTGTAGGCAGAAGGACACCTTAACTAACACGGAGCGGTGCGAAAAACACCTACCAGGAAAGAATCTGGTTGTATCCGTACTGGAAATCCCTTTCCTGGCATTTCTGGACAGGATATGCCAATTGGTTCTCATGAAAGTAGAGGACCTTTTTCAATTTGCCAAGGTCAGGGCGGAGGGCAGCGAGTTCAGCCAGGTTCAGCACCGAGCTTGCAAAGAGGATCCTGGAAAACAAGGAGAGCAGTGTTTACTGTCTGCGAGCGCGCTCGCAGGGGTCACCCCTTCCCCTTCTCCCCCCGCCCCCCCCAAGAAAAACATAACCCCTATAGGGACACATCAATAGCTAAGCCTTAATACCATGTAGCAGCATTCGAAGTTTTGATCTCTTAAAAAGCAGCTGCTAAGAACCCAACTAGAAAAGCATCGAATCTCATTGGTCTTCCCAGCTCGGTTACAGAGAGATGCAAAATAAAAAAAGCTGGATGGATTTTATTGAAAAAGGCAAGAAAAGCTGTATCTGAAGGACAAATGGAACAAAGATAAGGCTGACTAGGGAATACTTTGCTTGCCAGTTTCATTACACTTTACTTCTTTATGCAACCGACTACTGAAATTCAATATATGAGCAGGAATGGCACATGTTCATGTTATGACATAAACCCTTTTGATTTATGCAGTGCACTTATCTAGTATGGTCTGTTTTTCTTTTATTTTTTTTTCCACCCTTTTCCTGTTTTATTTTCACATTTTTATTAGGTATCCTCTATAATGAAATGTTGTTTCTACCCTTGCACCCCAGTATTGTCGTAGCACTCCTGCTATTCCACAGCCTACAAAACTGCACGAATCCTTCCATTATAGAAACCAGGCACAAACAGCACTAATAAGCTGCAATCGTAGCCCTGTATAACTTATCAGGCTATCAGAAAATTAACCTGTTTCAATGTGTAAGACAAAATTGTGACCCTACTGTAACCAGTGGCAGATTTTCCCATATTTCACCAAAAGTATGTGAGCACATCCTGTCCCCTGGCTAATGCTGTTTTCAAGCAACCTGAATCTTGAACCTACAGAGAACTGCAGAGCTGTAAATTTGTGTTACACACCTCTCATCATAAGGGATTAAAAAAAAAAAAAACCTATCATGTATTTATTGAACATAAAATATTAAGCTTTAATAAACTATTTTTCAACATAGCACGGGGTTTTTTTTGCTATCCACCATTTCAGTGGTTCCCATTCAGAACTGATTTATACAATTTTGCATTCTTTTAAGATCTTTCCTATTTTTATTCCTATTCTTCCTATTTTTACATGGATTTTGTGTACCAGATTACTGTCAAAATCAACATCACTAATGTTACAAACTTCTGATTCTGGCTGTCAACCTTAAAACCCGTGAACTTTCTCGAACATCCATATATATCATATTATCACCTACACTAACATACACTGTTCTTAGATAGTCTGTATCTACAGAACAAAGACTTCCTAGAGAACAGATCCTGTATCCATCTTCATCAACCTGAGTCAATGCTAATCTGAAAGGCTTACGAAAGTAAGAGATGAATGTTATTGCCTTGTTCATCAAATATTTGATCGTTCTAAAGGGACTGTCAAACAGAATGCCAATTAAGATACGAGCTCAGGTTTATTATGAGCCATACCAAGAGGAAAAAATAGTTTTACGTAAGCCATCACTTATTTGTCATGAAGAGTAATAACCTCTGGACCTCATAACAACGTGGGTGCCAGACACAAAGCAGAGGCAGGAAAACTTCCTACGGGCGATGCAATAGCCCTGCTCAGAGACTGCTGCGAGTTTAGCACTCGAGCAACAAAGAAAAGTACAACCAGGAGAAAATGTACCCCCTAAATATGACAAAAACGAGGTGAAATGATTGTTTGGCAAAATTCTGGCTATTTCAGGATTGCGTTCAAGTTTATCCTTTCTCTTACTGAAAACCTCTTTCTGCAATGAGTTAGGAAGAAATCTGAAGCGATGCAGGATAGCATCTATGATCTTGGCTGTGTTTGAAGGAAGAGAGGAAAAAAAACGATGGCAGATTGGGATTGGAAACACGGGAAGCAGCTCAGAGCAAGGCACAAAAGCAAGAGTGGAAAGAGAAGACAGTGGGGGTGCCAAGGTTAACATGATGACTGCAGAGAAAAGGGCAATGGGGAGCACGCCAAGAGACGAGATCCAAGATTTAAGCTCGGACAAAACCGCGTAGCTCTGAAATATCTGAAGTCGCTCAGATGGACAAAGGAATAACTAGGAGAAGACTATGAAAAAAAGATGGTTACATCCACAGGAAAGGAAAACAGCGTTGGCAAGTAGCAGCTTAGGCAAACTGGAAGAATTCAACAGCATCATTAGAGAGTGCTGGAGGCTGGCTTCTAGTAAGGCAAGAAAGGGCAAAAACTTGGAAAGCTTGCAAGATAGACCCAAATTTTCTCCACTGTAAATGGGAACTGATAAGACTCAACTAACAAGCAGATTGCTTATCGCTGCCCAGCTCATCAATAAACCCGTGTCAAGAGAAAAATTGCTGTGATTACTAGCAAATTCAGATTTGGAGGCTGAAATGACACTGCTTATGTTTCTTACAGCAGGAAAAAAAAAATAAAAACAAAACCAGATTAGAAAACAGTCTTCCTGATTCACTTGTACGACTTCGCAGCATTTCCAGAATTTAACCCAACAAAGATGAGACGCTCTTGTTTCTTTACTGGCATAAGCGATGATAACTACCAGTGATAACCAATTTCTCTGGCATTATAAGCTTAAATAGCACCTGACAGCACGAGTCCCACGAACATGCCCACAGAGCAGCCGTGTACGTGGCTAATGGACACACGCAGGGCACTGGAGGATATGCTGGAGTGTATTTCCACTTAACACCTATTACGACGGGAAGAAAGGAAAGTTCATTATAATGTAACATAGGACATAAATATCTGTCAGTTGTCATTCCGTGTGACATCAACTTTCATTTTACCTCGGGTTATTATTTAAGTAATAAATCCTAACAAGGTGAGCTTTATCATCCCATGGAGTGTATCCGGGAGGTAGAGACACAAGGTGATGGCAAGAACGCTGGAAACATGATAATTCCTGACAGCTGCTGCTTGAGCGCAAGTTAAATTGAACAGTTTATCTCAGCATAAAGATGTTATAAGGTTTTATGTTTAATTTAAAAAAATTAACATAAAACCCAGAGAAAGCAGAGTTAGGCAATCTTTCACAAACATGACATACTACAATCACTGTATAAGCTGGATTAGTACTTATTACCATGCTACTAGAGAATTAAGCTGTTTTTAGACCACCAAAGAGCTTTAAATTGCAACTTTTGTCTCTGTAAGAGAAACCTATATTTAAAACGTCTGCTAAATTCAAATTAACAGCTACATCATTAACTTACCATCTCACAAAACCTCCTAACATCTCAACTGCTATTATAGTATCTTTATCTAGACCTATCAATGCTATATAATACATACAGTACTCTTCAATAAATATCTTGCGTGAATCCTCACAAAACCCGTGCTGAAGGTCACATTTCTAAGGCAACTGCCCTAGCTGTCCTCTCCAAAATATCCCCAAGTATTTTACTGTGTTACAAATGACCTTCTTCCACCGAGCAGGACCATCACACATGCAGCAGCCTCACTGCCTTGGAGGCTGGCCAAATTTCAGGGCCACCATCCACGCAAGCTGCGGTTTTACACTAAGCTTGTGCTTAATCTGAATCACTTAATAGCCCTTTTGACTTCGGAGGAACTACTTGGGTGAATTAAGTTAAGCGCGTGCTTAATTCACGCAAATATTCATGGGAAGGAAACTGAGCGTGCTTGCAGGATTCAGAGCTGCGACGTGTCCAGAGAACGCTCTGACCTTTGCTATTGTCTTCCCCATTATTTTACACCAAAGGACTGAAAATAAGTAAAAAAAAAAAAAAGTAAAAGCTTCTATATTTTAATTACCAGCAGACGAAATGACTAATACAAGTTTCCATTTAAATCAAGCAAATTATAAAAGTAAAGGTGCTAAAGTAATTTTATTTTGCTTTATAAATCTTCTTTGTGTCAGGTAACCATGACTTACTCTTTTATAGCACTGCCCTAAATCTTTCAATTAAATTCCCATGCAACTTAACTAAAAACACATTTTGCCTTCCCCTTGGGAGACCACACAGGGCATACTAATGTATCTATGGATATGGAAGCTGAACTCTCCAATTCACCAGGCTTAGAGCACCAAGCGAGTTTATAACAGCACCTGCTCTGTACTGGAATATTCCCTCTGTCTGGCAGAAGCTCTGCCAGCACGAAGGACTGATGGACACAGTCCCTGTTTGCATCGCAGCACAGGTAACCCAGCTCTCCCTGGAAAAGGAGGATGACTGTAGGATACAATCCTGCAGCCTCAACAGGGACACTCCTGCAAAACAAATCCAAGGCCATAAATCCCCACTGCAAAAACGACGATATTCACGGTAAAATCAGTCTATGATTGTAGATCTGGCAGTCCAGAAAAGAGGTACAAGAGCTCTTCATTTGCCAGGTGTAGCATTGTGATAAAACAGAGTTAGATTTGGGTAGGATACAGGTACTAGATAAAAGACTGTTCATTAGATAACACTAAATGAATTGACATCCACCCAGCCTTCAGGAGGGGAGAGTGATGCTGGAAGAAGTGGTTTTGCACCAACCTAAGAACTAAAACCTTGAGCACCCAGAGGCATCAAATTCTACCGTGCTTCTCACATTGATCTCTTTGTTCCTGCCAAACCTGAAACATTTCTTTTTCCTGAAATTTCAACTGGCAGGCCTAACATCATACAGCAGAGTCTTGAACCCTGAGGTTTTCACCCTATGTATGGTTTTAGTCTGGGCACGGTCCTTGTGCACTCAGCAGAGTGAAGCCAGCGTGCCACCGGAGCTCACACGGACATGACAACCCAACAGATGACCATCAATAACCGTGAAACACTGAACCATTGATGACGGCTAGGTTTTCTCCAGCTGACCAGAAACCAACCAAAATTTTATATCAAATAATAGGAGCCATTAGGGGAACCATTTGCAGTGAAATTAGGGGCAGCTCATGCTCCTGGTGAAGGCAAGCACGGTTGGGATATGAAGCACTGAACACTGCTCTGCTACATTGCCTCCTTTAAGGTCAAGGAAAAGACAAGAGGTATGACCATAAACACAT